CAGTTTCCTGAATGATGACTGCATTACTTTGAGGTGTGAAGAAATCTGGTTCCCTTCTCAATCCTTGGCAGGTGTAATTGCCTCCATGTGAGATGACATATTGATAACCATTTTTAATATCGACAGATTTTTTTGAAGAGTCCAAGGTATATCTGATCCATAGATATTCCAAACCAGTAGCATCCTCCACATCACAGGTCAGAGTCACATAGCCCCCCACTGGTACAGTGGTCTTATCTGCTCTCAGTGTGACCCCACGTCTGCGTGCTGTTTAGTAAAAACCAAAAAAAAACAAACAAAAAAAAAAAACAACAAAACAGTAAAACAAGGAAATTACTGCAAAGAACATGCCACCAAACTCTACTTACATTATAACACAGCACAAAAGAAACACTTTTGTTTCATATTGCGTAAAACTTGTTTAAATGAACAGATTTGTTTTCAGCTGGTAGTGCACATAATCCATCCTGACACTTTCTACACATCTAAAGCCTCTTGAGTGGTGGCAGACAGTTCAACACAAAGCAGCTTAAGAAAACACAAACAAATAGACAGAACACACGTGAGTGAAGAAACATTTTCAACAGTCTGACGCCACATTCACAGCTCAACACAACAACTAAATAAGGTCTAAATGCAAAACAAATTTCTCCAGGACACGCTAGCAGTAAAATGCTGATGCTGGATGTATCCATCATCTTTGATAATTAAATCAGAATGTAAAATGTAAAGTGAGCTTGTTTTCCAGTGTCACTGACAAGTGGTCATGGTATTCATCAGCAGTCAGTTTTCAACACAGTTTTGTCCACAACTTGCAGCCTGTCTCTGTTTACTTATGTTTTCTGTATTTTCAAATTGGTGAATGTGTTTATGAATTTGCTCAAATTTTATTTAATCGCAGCATTTTCTTAAGTGTGCATGCATTGAGCTCTTTGGTCCACTGTGACAAAATCTACTTAAAACTGAAGACTTCAGTCTGTTCAGTGATTGGTTAGGTGAAGGCAGAGTAAAGATTTACTTCTTTGGAACTTGTTTGGTAGTTTTTTGAGACATATGAGTACTTTATGAAGCATTTAAAGAAATCTTTGCTGAATGAAGAATGTGAATTGTGACTGAAAGCTTAGGAAACTCAGTAAGAAGATATTTCATCACAGTGTGACAGCTACTTACCTTCCACTCTCAGTTCTGTTGCCTCGGATTCTGCCCTGTCACCAAACTCACACGTGTAATTGCCCTCATCTGACTTGGAGACTGAATGAATGGTCATTTCTGCTCCTCGTGACTGATGGTTTTCAACACGTGATCCGTCTTTGAAAAAGGCAGCCTCCATGTCATTGCTTGGATTACGATGCTTGCAGCGCATAATCACTGAGTCTCCTTCAAACACAGTGAATGCAGGACTCTCCAGGACTGCGTCACCACCTATGTAACAGATGTAGAGTGTTAGTTTATTGAGCTCAATTAAACAAACATCTTCCTCATCTTACAACTCATAAGTGATTCAGCCGCTATATGTCTTACTGTTTTCATCTTTCACAAGGAAACATTTATCAGATGCTTTAACAGGCCGCCTATAATTTATATGAAGCTCTTGATTTGAACAGCGTAACTCTGCCCTTCTCTTCTTCCTGTTTTTATTTTCCTTCAAGTGATTATGGTTGTGACAGTCAGTCATTTAAAACACATCACTCCAGATTATCATGGTTTAAATTCTCTAAACCTTAAAATAAGATTTAATTTAAATAATATAAGCATAGTGTCAACAGGATGATCATATCAACATGGCTACTCGGTGACACTTGCAATAACTTGTAAACAATGCAGATGCTTCCACACAGGGCAGACAGGCTCACTGGATGATTTGATGAATATGAAAATGATGTGACTCAAACCAGCAAGTCTACTGGTGCCCAAAACTTACACTGAATACTTTTGAAAACCTTTTCATCATCATTTTTAACCAAATTTAAAATCTTTAAAAATATTTCATTCATTTATGTTTGTTCTTATCTAAGCATTGCAGGTAAGTATAAAGGTAAGTAGTATATTGGGCCTTTTCCACTGTCACCTGCACCTATTTGCATTTCCATTGTCAAATTAGCTGGGCCAGAGATGGACCCTTTCTGGAGTAGGTCCAAAAGCCAGGCTGCCTGCCCTCAAGCGGGTAGCAGTGACGTCATGCCGACCACAGCCAACCCTCAATGACCCCTCTTCTACACCTCAAATGAACCATGTGTGTTGCAACTCCACTCACCTCTGTGTGCAGGAGACCAGAGAGAAAAGTGTTTTTGAAAGTCTCTGTGTGTTCAGCTCTCAGTACTTTTGTGGCTTTCAACTGAATCTCTGTGGTTTGGAGTTTAGTTTCTCTCCTGCGTCCTGTTTGTACTTTAGATATCTGCTTTATTTTACTGTTTCATGTTCGCTTTCAGCTGTGTTTGAGGTTGTATGTAGCACCTTTCTTTAATAAGGGCAAGTCTAATAATACCACGGGGAGGAAGAGTAAAAGCAGAAACAGCTACTGTGAGATGAAATGAAGAGCTGCAGACAACAGGCTCTGACTGCACCTCTGCAAACAGCTCACCTACCAACAGGTAAACTTTTTTTTACCTGCCCTGCTGTGGAAAAACACATGCAGCAAAAATAACAGGGGACATAAGCTGTGGATCTGCTTTTAAATGTCATCACTAAAGGCAAGCCATCATCAATTAAAGACACACCCTCAAGTGGGTAAGCCTGTTGTAATGGAAATTTAAACCCTTGCTGTGCTGGGCTGATGGCCTAAAACAAACCATAAGTACTCCATAAGTACTTTTAAAGATTTTGGACTTTCACGCAGAAGACCTTGATTCATTTCGACCAAAAGCTAAAGATGGTCACATGAAAGTAGATCAAATGTTTGTGGCAATTAAGACCTCACAAATTCACATTTAGGACTACGATTTCATTTTATGGTTTAATATTTAAAAAAATTAATTTTTTACACTTCAAGACTTCATAGGGACCTGCAGACACCCTGCATATACTGTCACCTTCACAGTAACCACATCTCACCCCAAGTAGTGCTATTAGTAGTAGTATCCTAAAAGCCACTAAGAAACTTTAGATTGGTTTATAAGTTGTCACCCATCTGTATGTGAAGCACTTCACAATGTTTGATAACTGTGGCACTGAGCACACCATGTCTCTATCAAAAATGAGATTTGAACTGCATAATAAGTGGAATTATTAATTTGTTCATTCATTATCCGAAACTGCTTACACCTATTCAGGGTTGCAGGGGGGCTGATCTCAGCTGACAGTGGGCAAGAGGCATGACATGGGGTAATTAAATATTACAATTACTATTAGTAGTAGTAGTATTATTAACAATGACTCATTGTTAATGAACTATTGGGGCAGACTGTTGTAACTGACTGTAGCACCTGTTAGCCCTTCCTTCACATCAGAGTCCTCAGTGTGTCTATCTTCTTCCTCATTCTGCCCTGTTAAGATGATTAGATAAATGTATTAAAAGAAGATGTGTCTGTATGAAGGCAACAAACTCTGCAGAAAAACTACTACACTTTGACATCAAGGTCAGCACAGCATCAGGTCTCCCTACAAAAACATGCATATAAAATAATACTTTCATAATTTGTTTGTCACACATGAAGTAAAATGAGAGATCAATACTGATTAAAAATAAAAGAAATAGACAACTGCTCACCTTCATCTTGTCCATAGAGGAGCGTGCTCAGCACTACAATAAAGATAAAAACTTCATTGAACAACAACAGTGGCAACTATAGCTTATCAGTCAACAGTATTATGCATTTCTGTGATGATGTTCTTTGAGTCTGTAAAGAGGTGAGAAACTCCTAATATCAAATATATAAAATACCCAATTAAATCAATTCAAAAACTATAACTGTAACAATACCTTAAGACTATATATGGTACATGCATTATGCAAATGTGTACAAAAAGCTAGTACAGTTATATATCCAACAGCTTTGCAGTCTAAATAAAAACATGAGTCTGCCTCTGAAAGTCACAAAATTGAAAAGTTGCTGATGTACTCACAGAATAACGCCAGCACACAGAGCAAAGTGTTCCCCATCTTCACCTCCAGCGCTGACACACTCTGCTGCTCTGCTTGTCAGAAATTCGAATACTTTGTATTTATAGTGATGCAACGGAAAATGAGAAGAGAGAAGTATCCTTTCATGTGAATATGATAGCAGACTTTTTCTCTATCTTCTCTCAGTGTGGCCTGGTCTGTTCTTACTTCCCTTTCACACAAAGCCAAGACAACTGCAGGGGCTTTGACCATAGCGTGCTGACATGTTTACACTTCCTGCCCACAGGTGAAAATGTATTAGCTTATTTCATGTGCAAAGGTTTGTGCATGGTGCCTAAAATTGTTAAATTAAAAGTTGGTATAAACAATAATCAGTTATTCCATATCCCTGCAACATAGGACCATTTAATTTAACCCTATAAAATCATACACGCACCTAACATTTTATTGTATGTTTATTTAATGTATGTTCTGAACATATACTTCCTGAATTGTGATGAGGTTTGTGTTGTGTGTTGGGGAAACTGCAGTTGGTTGGCAACAAGGGTTGGTTGGTATACAGCTATTTCCTGGTGCTTGGACGTTCTCAGAAACAAAAATGTAACACTGAGCTGATTGCTTGCCCTGCAGTCATCTACTATGATAAAACATCTGAAAGGCACTAACTTTTCTGGTGCAGGTAACATTTCAGTTTTGTAGTTTCAAAAATAAAAAGTGATTAAACGGTTTAGATGAAAATATTGGAAATGTGTCACTTCTAGTTAATAGACAAAGGAATCAGCTACATTTTCATATAAGGTTTCATTTTTTGTAACTACAGCATTCTGCAGGCTGTTCTCATGTATTGTTTGTACGTATAGCTACGTAAAGTAATGCAACAAAATATGTATATAATCCACATAAACATGAGCCAGTAGTTTGTGCATGAACCATGTATTTATAAACACTGCGATCATGTGACCAATGTGCTAACAGAGGTAAAGAAGGAAGTATGCCCATGAGGAGGCAGGTTGGGGTCGCTGATGGGTCACAAAACTCTTTCCCCCAGGAGACCGGTGTTTGGAACCGTGTGAACCCAAGTAACCTTTGAGTCATTGTAAGGGACGTCGTCACCATGTTTCTTTTCCTAAACCTTACCTCAGTAACTTTACTTGCCTAAACCTAACCTGAGTAACTTTACCTTAATTACATCTTTTATGGGACGCCAATTTGTTTTGTAAGATATCACACGGACCGTTGTATGACGAGACGTTGCATTCTAACAGTGTGCCAACCAACCCCATGATGGGGCTCGTTGGCACAAATGCACAACATGACTTTAATCACAAATCAACTAACTTTAGAAAACCTTTGTGTATTATTATAACTTATTTATTCATAACTGAGACCTTTACCTTTCATTTGCTGCTGGTTAGAACATTTTAACAGAAATTGTGCCAGAAAAATACAGCAGAGTGAAAAGTGTGGCAACCAATCAGCGGTCTCCATTTAATACTGTATGTATCCATGTACGATTATTGTGTGTAGGTTTGTACAGTACATCCTGTAAGTGTGTGTTTAATACTGTCCATATTGAATTTCGTTTAAAAAATTCTACTACCCAATATAAAAAGGTCAAGACTTTTTTTATTATGGATTAGAATTGTATTGTCAGTGTGAGCCCTGAATAACAAATATGTCACCTTCTTAGCACTTACAAACGCTTTAACAATTGTGGTGATGATATAATAGCTTAGAATTGAAGAGGGCACCCATGGAAATGGAAAAAGTATAGACCGAATCACCATGATGAACACTTCCAGGTGGACAACTGGTTTTAAATTGCTGAGATATATGAAATCATCACACTTGTTTATTTCTGTCATCAGTTTAAGCCATAACTGTAATGTTTCAAGATATGTAGATTCACACGGTGGTCTGACCTAACTGACGATTTTGCTGTACTTATTTTATGTACTGTGTTGCTTTGCTAGCAACTTGATAAGCAAAATCCACCTGTACCTCATTAGTTCCGTAGTTTTAAATGTTGTCCTTCAAGCCGTTCTTGTTTTGTTGCCTAATGCACTTACACAGTGTGGATCTAAAACAAAACCACAACCAACAAATTAAAATTTTCCAACCTTTAATTTGAGACGCCTTCAATGTTAGCTCATGTTGCTAATATAACATTAGATAATACATGCATAAAGGGGAAAACTGAGCAAATAAAACACTGAATCAAACCGTTGCCTGGGTTTTGTTTCATTGTGCTTTAAAGATTACAACTAAAGTCTGAGAAAACACAAACCAAGCCAACATTTCTTAACAGGCATGAAAAAACTGTTTCCAGTTCCTCTTCACACATTAAGACGTGTTGCCGTAGAAACAAGAATCAGTCAATGTCATCACCACATTCACAACAGAGCTTATATGTTTGTACACTGAAAATGAAGAGGGGTCATATACAATAAGATTTTTTTGTGGCAGAAATTTAGTCAAACGCAGTGCGTCAGTGGTAAATAATATAGTAATTAAGGCACAATTTTTAACAGAATATTTTGAAAACAATGTCCACTGATGGTGACATGAGGAAGTGTGCGGTCAATGCTTCTCAATCGGAAACATCAGAAGAAGATAACAGGCAATGCCAGAGGGCTGAGTCTGAGAAAATCACAAAGGTTCCTACTCTGTTCTGCATTAATTTTTAATACAGCAGGTCCAAGTAAAAACAATGGGGTCATTCATTTTCAGTAAAGAGATGGTACAGAAAGGCCTGCAGCTTGCTAACTTGCTCAGAACCATCAGTCCCATACATTAGTACAGTGCTAAGGATGTGACCCCTGAGCAGTCAATTGTGTTTGCTGGAACACAACACTGCCAGAAATTAAATCCTGAGTTTAAGTAAGTTCCGAAGTTTTTATTAAGTACTAAAGCTTTTTGAGAATGTGGAACATTAGTCACATTGACATAGCATCCTGGGACATAACTACGTCCAACAGTCCCAGACTTACAAAGGAGCACTTACATTGTGTAGGTATCAATTAAGGTAATTTGGCACCCCCATGTGGTCATTTATAGGTACTCCTATTTTAACTGCACAGTGATTGGGGTCTGTCAAGTAAAACAATAAAACATCCTCACCAACAAATCAGACAAACTTTGGTAAGCTTCAATAAGTGCAATACAGTGTCTCCTCTTACATCTCCATACATGCAGTATATTGTTCTGTGTGTCAGCTTATTAACAAAATAGGAATCCTGTACAGTATATTCAACTTTTGAAATCACACAAGATGCTAAAATACAAGTCCTTCAATGGAACAGCCTTATTTGAATCAGCACAGATGCATCTCTAGTCTGATTTTCATTGAGTCCTGGTTGAGTTATGCATGTCTCAAATATCTGTGGCAAACTCTCTGTTCAGCTGAAGGTCTGTAGCATACTGCTGCTGCAGTTGAAAACACTGGACCTTACACAGCCTTTCAGGATTGTTGCGATGATGCAACCACAACAATTCACGCAAATTCAACCAATCACTGAGAATTCTGTGCAACCTTGCAATTTTGTCCAATCACTGCAACTTTTCCGCAAATTTTCCCAATCATTGTAGCTCTCCGTGAGTTTTACCAATCATAGCAGTACCCTGTATATCGTCACCAAACTCATTTCCTTCTTTCCAGTTGAGCAGATGCACGCGTGCAACATCTCACATTTCTAGCACATATTACTGCTAAAGCAGCTTTAGTCTCTATAGCTAATTTCCCCTCCATTACAATTGTATGGGGGTGAATTTTTTTATAACTCACTGGATTATATTTTGTTAAGGCACAAAGTTATAAATATTTAAGGGTGGAGACGTTTGAGTGACAGGCTGTCCGCTGATAGTGTCTTTAGCTTCTCAGTGACGGCTGCAAACTTCTGAAAGGTAAAATATGTGATACTACACCTGCTGGTATCTCATCATGATACTTTTGTTTGTTCTGTCTCTGATATCTGTCTTCATCTCAATACAATACAGATGAACTGAATTTGAAAAACGTGAACAGTTTGGAACTTATTTTAACCAAAGAAATAATTCCTGAAAATCAATACCAAGTCCACTTTATGGCTTTTGCCAAGATAGTGTCAGAAGGCTACTGTGGGATGTGTTTATCCAGTTCAGATGTCCAGTAAAAAAAAATTGAAGACAATTTGAAAACAAACTAAAAATACAACTGGCAACTTACTCCTGAAAAAAATAAACTTTACTGAAGCATAGAATACAAAAATAATTAAAAACAAAAAATATCAAATTCAATCAGGTGAAAATAAAATATGCACAGTAGTTATAAATATATTTTTAAGACAGAGGAAAACATGTACATGTAATAGGATATGTTGTCTGATAGCAGATTATTACATACTGCATATTAAAGTAGTTTGTAATGTCCATCCTGGATCTATCTTATCTAACTCTATAAAAGATGCTGACTTTGAAGCTGCACTATCATAAGCTTAAATATACTTGAGCAGCTCTTTCTGCTTCTCTTTTTGCTGCCTCTCTGTCAGCATGTTGGTGGTGCTTTTTGTGGTGGGCTTTGGACGATGATGGCGTGTGGCTTCGAGTCTCTCATCAGGATGATGAGCATCGACTCACCAGTCTGTGAACTCTCCTCCGCTAGCTAGCTAGCTAGCTGCTAGCTAGCCAGATCAAGGATCTCAAATGTAAACATCAGTAAACATTGAGGAAAAGAGGGAGAAGAATGAGCACCAGCTGAACTAGCATCCTGCTAGCCATTGTACAGATGTTGGAAATAAACTGGACAATCTCTGTGACGCATCAGTTTTCAACAGGATATCAGGATGTTCACTGTAACTTGGCCAGTGCCATTTCACCAGGTGACTCTGTCTCTATATGCAAAGTCTGACAGAGCAGAGGAGAAGAAAAGGAGGCATGTGTTTTACAGTGAACAAGAACTGGTGTGTTATACAATCCCATGTGACAAATACATGAATTGAATGACTGGAAGAGAAGCAAACCAACAAAACAAATCATTATTCAAGATGTAAGGACGCTTTCTGACATGTTAATCTGACTTACAATCATTTAATGATCTGCAGAATTCATCATTTAAGTGTGCACATCATGTGGTGCATTATTACCAAGAGCTGTTCCTGGTTTAACTTCAGGGAGAAGTTTCATCAGTTGCTGATGCAGTTGATTTTCCTATGAATGGAGAGGTTCAATTTAAGCACACTGTGCAACTGAACACCATCACTGTATGTCCTTTAACAGTGGCTCAGATTGTTGCTGTAAGTGGCTGAAGTGTCTCTTTCACTTGATCCGGTCTGTTTGTTATTTCCTCATTAAGTGGAAAGCCTCCTTCTGAAACTATCAGGTGATGTCATTTGTTGCAGGAAAACAACAATGGAAACATGTTGGATCTGGAGAGAGTGTAGTAATCAGAGTAGTTTAGTGTTATCTCGACAATATTCAGTGTTTACCTGAGACTGGAGGTGTTCCTGTGGCTGCTGTGACCCTCTGCCCACAGAGGAAAAATGCGTGTGTTGTAAAGAGTGGTTCATGTTTGTGCATTTCCAAACTTCAAGGAGCTGTCATAGACTATCTTTCTCAGATATGGACACAATGAAGTTTTGGCTGGCTGTGCTACAAATGCATCCTAACACTCCTGTCCATATACTGTGCATGAAGACCTGCTGGTCTGCAGTGACCACCAGGATGACTGCTTCCTGTCAAAGAGGAAAAGAAATCCAGAGCTGATTTTGCTGAACAAAGCTGGTGTTCAAAGAGCGGATTTACCTGCTGCAAGCAAGGGGATGCAGGCTAATGCTATTAGCTGAAGCTATTATGTTGATGTTGCATAACGTTAAATCTGAAAGTATGTGGGTGCAACAGGGTACGTTGTGGTGTTGCAGCAGCAAAGAGGATAGTGTAGTAACAAGAAGCATCAGCAAGATGTAATGAATATGTAAATGTGTTTTCCCCCGCCCTCCTCGTCCACTCTTCATGTATAAACTCCATCACAAATAAATACGGGCGGCGATAAAATTCAAAGGCCTGAGCCACATTGTGGAAATCAGATAAATAATCATCCATGATATTTAAAATCTTTTAGACAACACTAAAATACATTTTCGAAAAACTACTGTGGTAATTATACTTCCTCCAAATCTCACTCATGTTTCCACTGTCGTCTCACTGCAACGAGTGACATCTTGTGATATTTCAGAGAGACTTCTTCTTAATGAGGCAATGACAAATAGACCAGTAGAAGTGAAAGGTAAAGAGACACTTAAACCACTTATAGTAACAATCTGAGCTGCTCTGTGGCAAAAATAACCACTATAATAGACATAGACATACAGTGGCTGTGTTCAGTTGACAGAAATTTGATCATGTTTTCACAGTAATATATAAAATAGATATACAAGAGGGAATTATGATATATTACATATAATTAAAAGGCGTTTGAAGGAGTTTTTTTTGTTTTGTTTTGGTTTTTTTTCAAAAAATAGTTTTTTAATGTAAAAGGTTATCTTAAAAGTAGTTGCATAATTTTGTATGATTGAACATGTGCTCTTTCACAGGCAGTGTAATGGAAGGATGCCTGGCACAAAAGGGGGGAAAAATAACAACAAAAAGAAAATAAACAACAATATAAAAATTTCGACTTGACTTGGTTGATTGGCCAAGTTGTTATCTTAAATATGGGTATCCATACCGGCCCACGATTTCAAAATCGATGCATCCCTACAATAATTAAAGGCAAAAATGCCCAATAAATAATCTTTAAAAAAATCCTTTGATGCTGTGATTCAGTAAGGCCAAATAAGACCATAAAAATAAAAAACTTACAATAAACCATTATTTTAGAGAACAGAGAAATTGACTGCACAAATGACTTAATATTCATTTACTACATATGCAAAACTTAAACTTAGAAATATAACACAGTTTTAAAGGTCATAGGTGTGTATAGAATTGACAATTTAAAACACTAGTGACACCCAGTGGTAGTAAGTAGTAACTACCCAACGTGACTTGGATAAATTGAGCTGCTGACCTGTTGTTACCTCCAGTATAATGATAGAACACATTTCAATACAAACTCTGAGCATGACTGTTGTAAATGACTGACCTGCAGTTCCTATATTCACATCAGAGTAAAGACAACTCTCCTCTGGTTCATGGCGTTTCCCTGTTAAGATGATCACATTAATCCATTAAAATAAAATATTTCACTTCAGGACAAAACATAAACTATATTCTAGTTATTCTGTGTATCTGGAGTACTCACCCTTCCTTCCAAAGTTTTTAAGTTCAATCAATGAATAGGTGTCATCCTGGGATTCAGCTGTATCTAAAAAAATACATTTTTTTAGTTACAGGATTCTCTATCAGTCACTCATAATTAATCCCCTAAAAAAAGCCATTTCCTACAAGAGCGATGCAAAAATCCACATGACAGCTATTCACACCAGGCTGGTGTGAATTATTCACATTGCCTTGTTCCATTTTATCTAACAAGCAATTCACTGTCCGTAAACAAACATGAGTACCTTGTTCCTCTGGGTGGATTAGCCCTCACTAACATCCAAACATCACTGCTGCATGGAACACTATATAATCCCAACCAGGGAAGGAGGACTGTTTGATTAAGGTCCGACAGACTCGCACCCAGTGGTCCAATTACATTATTCAGCATAATAATAAGCAGTGTGCTTGAAATTGTTTCAGACAGTGACCAACATTTAACAAGCCAAGAACAAAGTAAGAAGACATTCTCTTTTTCGGCAGCAAGCGAGCTCTGACATCATTTGGAACAAAGGATTTCATTGGTCAAACATATATTTTCACAGTAAAATTTAGGCAGAAATTGAGATCTGTCTGAATATTTTTTGTCCCCACACATTGTTACAAAGATCAGTTTTTATAAATGTCAATGCAAATTTTTTCAGTTAAAAATCAGTGCATGGTGTGAAACAGCCTTGCTCTGAGTATAGAATGGATTATCTAGCGCTCACTATACAAGGCTGTCAAGACTTAATTCAACAAGTTTCATTTGCCTTGTCTTAATTAACAATTGGATCTTATGTGATGTTATATCATCTAGAAACAAGAATTCTAATTCAAATCTTATTTGAGTATTTTGATTTTGTTTTGATAATTCTTGTAGTTGGATATCCTGACTTATTCAGAGAAATATTATCAGTGAAAAATCAAATTTTAAGCAAAAGACAGCTCATATTGAACATATTTTCACCTAAATATGATAGGGCATTTTTGCAGTGCATGTNGATAATACATGCATAAAGGGGAAAACTGAGCAAATAAAACACTGAATCAAACCGTTGCCTGGGTTTTGTTTCATTGTGCTTTAAAGATTACAACTACAGTCTGAGAAAAAACAAGCCAAGCCAACATTTCTTAACATGCATGAAAAAACTGTTTCCAGTTCCTCTTCACACATTAAGACGTGTTGCCGTAGAAACAAGAATCAGTCAATGTCATCACCACATTCACAACAGAGCTTATATGTTTGTACACTGAAAATGAAGAGGGGTCATATACAATAAGATTTTTTTGTGGCAGAAATTTAGTCAAACGCAGTGCGTCAGTGGTAAATAATATAGTAATTAAAGCACAATTTTTAACAGCATATTTTGAAAACAATGACCACTGATGGTGATATGAGGAAGTGTGCGGTCAATGCTTCTCAATTGGAAACATCAGAAGAAGATAACAGGCAACGCCAGAGGGCTGAGTCTGAGAAAATCACAAAGGTTCCCACTCTGTTCTGCAATAATTTTTAATACAGCAGATCCAGGTAAAAACAATGGGGTCATTCATTTTCAGTAAAGAGATGGTACAGAAAGGCCTGCAGCTTGCTAACTTGCTCAGAACAATCAGTCCCATACATTAGTACAGTGCTAAGGATGTGACCCATGAGCAGTCAATTGTGTTTGCTGGAACACAACACTGCCAGGAATTAAATCTTGAGTGTAATTTAAGTAAGTTCAAGAAGTTTTTGTTGAGTACTCAAGCTTTTGAGAATGTGGCTCATTAGTCACCTTGACATAGCATCCTGGGACATAACTACGTCCAACAGTCCCAGACTTACAAAGGAGCACTTACATTGTGTAGGTATCAATTAAGGTAATTTGGCACCCCCATGTGGTCATTTATAGGTACTCCTATTTTAACTGCACAGTGATTGGGGTCTGTCAAGTAAAACAATAAAACATCCTCACCAACAAATCAGACAAACTTTGGTAAGCTTCAATAAGTGCAATACAGTGTCTCCTCTTACATCTCCATACATGCAGTATATTGTTCTGTGTGTCAGC